CGATTGCTGATACATCGTCTGATCCATTGCAGGTGTTAACCAGAGCTGTACAAGCCGCCACGCAGTCAAGCTGGGTAGAGGAGAACCGACCACATCCAAATTTACATCTTCTGCGTCTGTGGGCAGCACGCCGTCGTGCAGAGCTGGCCTTAAACCGAGATCCGGCAGCCGCTGAGCTTCGTGATAACCTCAACAGACTCACCGCTGCGGCGCGTCGCTGCGAGAAGCGTCTCGCCCGCGAACGGTGGATGGACTGGTGTGCGTCACTCGGTCCATCGTCTTCAACCGCCTCAATATGGCGAACGTTCCGGAGTATGGAACTAGGCACCCGTACGCCGGACCCAGCGGCCAGTGCGTGTCTGTCTTCTGGATGCACGCCAAGCCAGTTCGCTCCAGAAATAGTTAAGGCTTTCTTCCCGGCCTACAACCTGGCCCCACCACAATTCGACTGTCCGTGTAACCTGCCTCCGGAGGTTGGCGTGACTCCCAGTCCGTCGGACATCGAAGGCATGCAAGCGCCATACACGATGGCGGAGCTCCAGGCAGCAATTGACCAGGCAAAAGTACGCAAGGCACCAGGACCAGATGGGATCTCCTATGAAGTGTTCAAGAACATGGATGGCCCTGCACTGCAGTGGCTGCTGGACACGCTTAACGCAGTCTGGACGACCGGAGGGCTGCCTGAATCGTGGAAGCATGCCGAAGTTGTGCCGATACCTAAGCCGGGAAAGCACCCGAACAGCCTCTCTAATCTTCGGCCGATTGCTCTAACGTGTACGTTGTGCAAGCTTCTTGAACGCATGTTGGCGTCGCGCATCTCCTGGTGGCTGGAAAAGCACGCCTGGTACCATCCGGCCCAGATTGGCTTTCGACCGCACCTGGGCACGGAAGATGGCCTAGATCATTTGACGTCCATGGTGCTTGTGGGAAGAAGATCAAGCAGCATTCGAACCCTTCTCGCCATGGACGTTCATAAGGCCTACGACAACGTCAGCCACTCTGCGATCAATCACATAATGCAATGGCTTCAACTTCCGCCTCGCGTCTGCGACTTTGTGGAGTCTTTTCTGGCACACCGTACCTTCTGCATCAGAGTAGGCAAGGAACGAACCGGACACTTTGTAATGAAGCGGGGTGTACCGCAGGGCTCGGTTCTAGCCCCGATACTCTTCAATATTGCCCTGTTGCCCCTCGCGTGGCAACTAGCACGCATTCCAGATGCCTTCTTCCTCCTGTATGCCGATGATTTGACTGTGTGGACACTACATCCAGACCTTCAACGCCAGCAGGAGGCACTCCAGAGTGCTCTCGACAAGGCGTCGGACTGGTGTGCGCGCATAGGACTGACACTATCTGCCACGAAGACTGCATTCATGTCTATCACCAACAGACGAGGTCGCCGTCGCCTCCTGCAGACGCCGATATGTTTGAGCCTAAATGGCCATACCCTCACCCCTGTATCCACTATACGTGTGCTCGGGGTCGAACTGGACGCATCTGGCTCTGCGAATGCGTGGGTTCGCTCTGCTCGCCGGAAGAGTGCTAATACCCTCCATCTCATTCGTCGCATCTCTCAAAAGACGGGGGGTGCCTGTTCTCGAATGGCCCGTATCTTGGTGCGATCAATCCTACAACCTCGGCTCGTTTATCAAGCTCAGTTTCAACGACTGACTTTGAGAGACTGGGACTTGCTCGAAACCGCCAACCGAGATTCCATGAGGGCGATTACATGCCTTCCCCGTATGACACCTATCACGACCCTCCAGGCGGAAGCGCAGCTCAACACCATCGACGAAATTGTACACCAGCGTCGAGTCGCTCGCTACCTAAAGAGTCAAGCTGTTCCTGCGGCGGCAGCTCTAGCTCACTACTATGATTCAACGCTGCCACAGCCTGACGCACCCGTGGCAGAAGTTCCACCATGGCTCAAGGCACAGGCCAGTGACAACCGACCACTGACCCGCCTGCGACAATCCACCCGACAAGCGGCGCAGGAGGGCATCGTCACTACCACCGAGAACTCACTAGCGGTATACGTAGACGCAGCTATCGATAATTGCGTTCTGCACACCAGTCTCGTATGCCCCGCGCAACCTGAAATCCAACATATCTGCTCTTACGTAACAGAGGCACCGTTCCCATCCGTATTAGCGGAGCTCACTGCTATACGGGACGGGTTAACAGTTATGATATCCAAAATGGATTCTTTGTCACACGATAAATTGCTTGTATATACGGACTCCACGCAGGCAGTTCGAGAGCTGCGAAAAGTGACCAGCTCCATCGATATAGCCTCCGATATACACCGACTGATTCACTCATGTGCCTGTCCTGTCCGCGTTCTGTGGACCCGCCGGTCTGCACCGGCTCAAGTGGAAGCAGATGCCGCTTGCCATCCAGCGACTGTTCAACACCCGCTGCCTCTACTTCGTTTGTCCCCGAAGGACAGCTTGCTTGTGCACAAAGAAACCCTCCGGCGCTCCACGCGTGCTCTCATTCCTCCGCGTGGATCCGACCTTCCCGGCGGCTTAACTCGCCGAGAGGAGGTTGCGCTCAGGAGGATTCGTGTGGGCGCCGCCTTGACTCCTGCAATCCGGGCTACATGGACATCTGGTGCACAGCCTCCCCCAACGACGTGCCCATTCTGCGTTGCCCCAGCCACAGAGGCAACGCTTGATCACCTATTGGGAACCTGCCCGGGCCTTCACCAGGCTCGCACTCGCCACCTACGCGGCCTTCACCACCACCCCGGCCGACCACCTGACTTGACGCGCTGGACGCACGGTCCACTGCATCGACAACTCCTGGCCTTCATACAGGAAACAAAACTTCTCCTTTTTATTTAACTGATGCCGTAGGGCATACTAGCGCCAATAAAAAAAAAAAAACTTGATAGACCCCGATCGTTCGCAGTCGCGCCCTAAATGTGGGCCACGACTCATTTTCTTTTATTCACATGCTCTGGCTGTGCCCAGCCCTTAACACCTCTCCGCCCATCTCGAAGGAGTGATGGGATGCATCTATAAAGAGCCGCAGCCTTCATACACAACTCCAGTCCGTCCAGAGGGCCCGCGGCATCACGAGGGAACTTCGACTTCCGGTTCCATCGTGGGCGGAGCCACCGACTTGATATGGGGGGAGGCTATTTATAGCTCCCCTAAATATCTGTCCCTCAGGACCTAAATAAAGTTCTCGTCATGTCATGTCGCGAGCTGAGACGCGTTTACAATGGGGAAAAATAATTTCTTTTCTGCTGTGACCTTGGCACTCTGTCCGCGAGTTTATTGCAAAAGCCACAAACCATCCGAGGAACTTGGTGTGCGGTGCTGTGTGCCATCAAGGATACTTTGTCTCCAAATCATTTCTGGAAGACGCCAGCGTGGCCACACCGCGATTGGAAGGTCTTTTTGCATTTCCTTTCGCACTCCTTGTTTTGTTCGTTCTTATTCCTGCTTTTTCTATGCTTGTAGGAAACACTAAACCTTCAACTGGATATGAACGCTCAGCTTCATTGTTTATCTGTTCCTCTCCTGCTTCGCACTAGGCCACTTCAGAAAACTGCAAAAACCAACTAGCCTGACTCGCTAGTCTACTAAGTAGTAGGTCGAAGTAAGCGCCACCTTTACAGTGGCAGCAAGGAATTCAAGAGCCTTCTTTTTTTAGTCAGAGACACATGCTGACCGCTGTGAATAAAAGCATACCTTTTCTCAATTTGTTTATCATTCCAGCACTTCATTTAGACTATGCTACTTCTAGCATAGCTAATACTGTTGCCCCCAAGTATCCCGATTTTGGTGTACAAAGCATCTGATTCTTTCTCTCATACAGCATAGTTTTTTTATTGCACCCAATATCTGTATGTACTTCGCTATTAACAATTATATGGAGTGTAATCCTCCTTTTTAATGTGTTAAAGGCACTCAGTGTACGGTGATAAAATAATGAATAAACTTAATTGCAAGCTTCAATGCGCTGTGCATTTTAAATATTATGCTGCACATAAATGTCTGAATGGATTATGAATATTCCTGATGTAGAGAAAAGTATTTCAGTATCTACTGCTGTATTCCAGAATACTTTTTCTTTTCTTTCTGCAAAAGTATCTCTGAAATATCCCATTACCTAAATTACAAATGTATCTCAGTATCTGTATTTTAGGCTTCCAAACCGTGTATTTCTATATCTGTATTCCGGAATACTTTTTCAGGTATCTCTGCCCAGCAATGGTTTTTCTTCCGTGCGTGCTACAGAGCAGAGGCCACGCCGGTTTCTGGGTGTCGGCTAAGGCAAGGCGATGGCTCATATTCTACGAGTTGAGTGCGAATTTGATTTCCTGCTGTTATGTTTCATGCTGGCTTTCCTGCCGTTATTTCGCTGCGTATGTTCCATTGACCGCCAGTTTGCGGGGACTGTTTGTTCCAAGTATTCGGTCCTCCTGTGTGTGTTAGTGCCATGTTGAGCTGGCCTGGAAGGCTGTCATTATTTTGAGTCGTGCATTAAAGGCAGTTCTTCCCTGCGTTGCTGGCTCGTGCCTTGTGGGGACACGAGCCTGGGATGAAGTCTCTCATAATAATGATGACGTGAACTGTTGCCCATTGGCCACAGTGACTACAGTACGGTACCTGAAGTGATTTTTCTACCGTTCTTGCCAGTTGGAACAAATAAGAAAGGCCATCGGCAGCACGCTAAACTTTCAACAATGGAGACACACACAGCGGTGCAGATACTTTGGTTAAAAGCAGCATTATGAAAAAAAGCTCTAGTTGTGTTTGTGGAGACCAAGAACAGTTTAGGGCCATCAGGGGTTCGATGCCCTGTGCAAAGACGGACGATTGAATGTCGACGCAGTTGACTCCAGCTATACTCTAATGTGAGCAGCAAGGCACAGGAATAAGGAAGTGTAGCGAACTGGCACAGTTGGATTACCACTGACCTTGCACTGTCATCCTCTAGGCAGCTGCAACTCTGTAGATTCAGTGTGAAAGAAATCAAAGCACAGATACAAAACAAACGTAGTACTAGTTTATTATTCAGATCTGCCGGCATCACACCCAAAACAACTGCTCAGAACAAATGAACATGCAATTTCTTCTAGCCAGGATCAAGAGCTTTGTAAATGAATATCATTGGGTATACAGCCTAAGCCTACAAAACAAGATACAACAACTAAAGCGTAAAGGAGCTCCACCACAGCACTCACAATCGCTTGCAAGTCAGCAATGTCAGCGCTACAGAAAATCACGCACCGAGTGGATACCATTGCGAGCTGCTGTGTGTCTGAGAAAAAACTGCATGGCACTTTCGCCAGTCTAAAAAACAGCGTCTATAAAAAAAGATGTCTGCCAAAAAAAAACTCTTGATCGCAAGTGCCGATGTTAGCTCAGAGAAAGAAAGTGGTAAGGAAGACACTTGCATTGTCGCTGTAAACATCACAATTTTCCAGTCGATCAAGCAAACAGTGTGGGCCTACAATTGTCCAGCATGGTGACGGAATCATGATATGGTTGCCATGGCAGGTGTGTGCATCAACAGCGGTGAATGAATCAATGAGCAGCACTTGCACCACAATTATGGAAAAGTCTGCAAAAGCAGCACCCGACGATAGCGACACGAAGAGGGGGCAGGAAAGGAGCTCGATGAAAAGGGTGCAAACAAGAGTTAACCCGCTCAAATGCACCTCGGGAGGAATTTGCGACCAGGCGTTCTCCGTTTCTTTCAACTTATGAAACACCGACCAAGGGAAGACAATGGGAATGAATGCACACAAGGGAGCTCGTCTTGTCACGCAGCACAGGCCAGCCTGTGCAACCGCACGCACATTCAAAGCTACACGAGACAAGACAGATACTCAGATTAAAAGAAAGACCATGCAACCACCGACTCCAACAACAACAACAACCATACATTTATAAAAGTCAACAACTGGATTTGCGACTACTTTTCATAGACCCATGACAAGCCGCTCGTCTGACAGTACTTTCTGCACATAACGTGACCACTTGTAAAGTATGCAGTTACCTTTAATCACCATTCAAAATAGCTCGCAATTATCCATTGTAGAGAGCTCTCCGACCGCTTGGACACACACATGCAAATAAACTAGTGTTCAGTCATCAATCATGCAGAAAGTTAGGATCAAGCTAATGTTAAAGGCTGCAACATCTTAACGAACCTGCAAGAGTGCAAGTTAGTGATTCATTCCATACTGTTTCCACCAGCAGGCATGTGTGTTATTTCCCCATACCCCAAGCATAGCAATGTTTGCCTTTCTCGTCAAAGCAAGAGGTGCGACCAACTCAAGATTTGACAGTGCCACATTGTTGATTGCATTAAGGTAGTTCCAATTAAGTGCCAACAAAAATCTCGGTACGAAAATCTCGGTACAAAAAAAAAACAAAGCAACAACATCAAGCATGCTATGCTTCTTGGGCAGGTTCGTTCGCTGCCCTGCCTGTTACAGATCACACCACAAAGTTGCCCTAGCGAAGGCAGTTTGCTCACAGCACTCCAATAATCCTGTGTGTGAAACAGTTGGCTTGGCCTCACGGCAGATTAGGCTTTGGTCACTAGAAACAACATTCCATTTACAGAGGTGTGCACCAATTGCGCAGACTGAGCGTGTGGACAGGCTAAGCAACCCACAACTCGCATAGCCTCTGACAAACGCGCCATTCGTGCCGACCAGACGCCAGGAGCACAGCGGTCAGTTGTGGGGCTGTCAAAAGCTCTCCCAGTTGAGCAGTAGTGAACTATGAGGAGCGTCATCCGATCCTCGCTGCACCCATGGCTCCAGCGAGGCGCTCCTCGTCCTCGGGCGACGCCCCCCATGGAGGCGAGGGCCACAGCGACGCCCCCCATGGAGGCGAGGGCCACAGCGACGCCCCTCGCTCCACACCAGGAGGCAAGTGCGGTCGCGGTGACGGTGTAGACTGCGGCACCGGCGGTGGCGGGCTGCGGACACCACGCATGAGGGGCGGCCCGGAGGGACACGATGGCGTGACCCTTTGCCGCACCGACGAGCCGGCCCAGCAGTCGCCGCCACCAGGCGCTGCCTGGTATGGAAGCCCTGTGGTCGGGTCATAATACCCCGGCGTGTACGGAGGTGGCGGCTCTTCTGCACCAGACAGAAGCACTTTGCTGTAGCGCAAGCCATAGGTCGGCGAACTCACTCATCAGTCGACTCGGTCAGAATCACTCAGACTCGGATCGAGCCGTGAGCATGAGCCTGAATGAGTCCGAGTGAGTCCAGTTGAAGAAAATTTTAGTGAGTGTGAGTCCAAGAGAGTCCGAGTGAGGAAAATTATGGTAAGCCCGAGTCTGAGTGAGTCCAAAGCGTAATATATATTTGTTCAGTGAGTCAGAGTGAGTTTCACTAATTGTTTGCTCACTTTAGGTCTTATCTACTCATATTCCACATTACTATGAGCCTTACTTGTATTCATGTTCACACTCACATCTACTCACAAGTATTTCAAAACAATGTCTGCCATACACAATTTCAATATTTCTTAGTGGGGTGAATTACATAGGGGGGTGCCTTGTATCCCCCCCCATCAATTCTTCCAGAACTATCTGATAAATGTATTTTGTGCACTCACCTCTTTCAATAAAGCTGTCCTTGCTGGTTTGCAACCACTCATAACTAGTATTTGGGGGTACTACATTAAAGGCACCAAGAAGAGCACGAATAACTTCAGATTGATGTTAAAGAGCATTGAAATCATGATCTAAAAAGCCAATGCTAGACTTACGAACTCATGAGTTGACTCGCTTAAACTCGGATCAAGCCGTGAGTCTGAGTGAGTGCGGGTCAATAATGTTTTGGCGAGTTTGAGTCTGAGTGAGTTCAATAGAAGAAAACTTTCATGAGTGTGAGTGCGAGCGAGTCCAGCTCAGGAAAATTTCGGTGAGTCTGAGTCCAACTGAGTCTGATACACAAAATATATTTTATTAATGAGTGAGTGAGCAGCACAATTTTTGCCAACCTATGGCGCAAGCATCACATGGAGGTTCCACGTGGACCCTGGTGGCAATTCCATCCACACCACACCTCAGCCTCTCCCCGACACGTACCATGCGTGCCTAGTTAAGTGGCGCAAAGGCAAGCAATCCTCTGTCCCTTGCATCACTGTACTCAAAAAAGTATTTGCTGTCTCCGGAGTTTCCAATAAGAACACTGTGGTCTCGCAAATGTCAGTTGGCACTTCCATCACAGAACCCATACGTGGCACCCAATGTGCCAGCATCACTAGGCCACACATTTTTCTTTATGAACACACTGCATAGCTAGTGATATCCTTGTGGCACGATGTTCCTCCCCCATTTCACCTTGTCTTCCCTGCGACTTCAAGGCACACATGCCAACCTGCACTCTGTAAACTCGTTTGATACCAAACTCATCACAGTAGCAGCACTTCCTGTAGGTAAACTGATGGAGTGAATTGTTTCAATTTCCTGAATACTTCAAATTTGCCTGATGAGTGTTCTTCCTCAGAAAGTAGCCTGTGCTGAACCAACACAATAAAAACATGGGCCTCTTTGGAAAATAAGAACTCTAAACTGGACACTGCTCACAGAGCTTGCTTATGAATGAAATTCACAAGTAAAAAAAAAAGAAAACCATGGCTCATTCCCAAGTCAAGTAACTCGCGACATAAATGTGTAATGCTGAATTTCAATAGTTCATCTATTGGCCACACCATGAACTGCCAAATTACTGGGACAATCGTTGCGACTTTAGCCAATAACATCAACGGTGCATAGGGATAGTACTGTGCCATGTGTCCCTGGCAAAATAAAAGCAAGCCTCTTAACATGCAAGCTTCAAAACAGGCATTTACTAAGGCTTTTCAATTGAGTGTGAATGAATATATCAATGGCACAGCGGTTATATACCAACTCAGCTGTACCACAGTCACTACAAAATACCGCGAGAAAGCTACTTTACTGAGCCCCCCCCATGCACTCTGGTCGTACAAACCACAACAAAACAGTCAAGCAGCCATATAGTAATCTTAAAATACGTGAGTATTCCCTTTTTCCGCATGCAACATCATAATGAAATAATTTACCCAAAGAAGTAGTAAACGCTAATACAACTGAATCATTTGTTCAGTTTTCAAATAACCTTTCGTTTGACATGTAAAGTTCTGTTTATGCTGAACAGCTTTGGGGCAGTTGATTTTCGCGTTCACTTTTTTATTTAATGCATAGTGTGTAACTTACCTCAAGTGTTGAATAATTGTATGTGCACAATTTATCACTTGTAATGTTGCATGTTTGTAATTGCAAAGAATATTATTTATTTATTTTCTTTTGGTTGTTGATTGTGATTTATGTTTATGACTTAAGTTAGCAATAGTTGTAACTTTTATTATCAGTATTGTTTTTTAATGATGTCCCCACTTCTGCTTGAGCCTGAGTAGGGCCCGCAGTATTTGTAAAAAAAAGTGTAACCAAGGTACACCATTAAAAATGTACAGCAACATTATATATAAGAAACTTTATATCTTTTGTTTTATATTTTATTTGATGGTAGTTTAAAAACTTGCTTAAAAGTAGCCAACATGAGAAAACAGCTGTAAAAAAGCCAAACCTCATCATCATCAGCGAGGGCATCAGCGAGAACATAACCGACGAAGAAATTCCAGCTCGCCTGGCGAGTCAAAATGCACTGTAGTGCTCCACAACAGACTTCAAATTGACCCAATCCTGGAGAGGTAGGGTGGGGAAAACCATCTGCCTAGATGTTACCAAAGAAGCACATGACGCCCTAAGAGGCAGGACACGGCTAAACGTCAAATAAAGCTGCTGTCTCTTTTTTGACAATATATTTGTGCCTCGGTGCAAGAACTGTTGCGAATACGGCCATGTGGAGAAATTCTTTAAGGGGCTGTCTAGATGCACTGACTGTGGGGGGGGGGGGGGGGGCACCACCTCCGGCAGTGTAAAAACAGACACAAGAGCTGCCGAGCTTGTGAGGAAATCTTCCCTGGGCAACACCGAGCGCACTAGTTTATCAGCATGGAATGCCCTATGTTTAAGAAAGAGCACGCCAAAAGAACAAGACAATTGGTAGAACAGTTGTGAATACCACTCGAGGCAATCGCAAATTCAGAAAGTAGATATTTTAATTCTTGCATGTTTGGCAGTCTTTGACTCAAGCATTGTGGCATTCTAATGGTTTTATTGTATGCAAGCTGTGTTTATATTCTCAGCAAGCCTCTGCATGGTCTAGTGTGCATGGCAAGCAATATGGTGCTAAGGCCGTATGCTACACAACACATTTCAACATGTCATGTTTTAATGTGAAGCAATTTTCTCTCCCCCATCAGGTACAACAAAGATTGGCATAAGACTGCCTCCTTTCGAAGATCAAATTGACTTCAGTGTAGACATCCCTCCATGAAAATGACTACATGCATTTACCAAATATGCGTACATTGTACAGATACATGAAGAACCTTAATAGCAGGCTTTGGGTTTGATCCTGACCTATTTTCCGAGCTTTGGAAAAAGCTGCTTGCTTGGCCTGAGAGGGAACGACCAGGTTTGTAAACAATGTATCCCTTTACTTCTTCATGCTTTCGTTATATTCTTTCAACAGGCTGCTCTCACTTTTTCTTTTTTTCTTTCTTTTGCAGGAGTATTAATGTTCAACGAAATGAGTGTAAAGAAAAGCCTGCACCTGAGAGCGTCTGACATGAAACTTGTTGGAAAAGTGGATTTTGGGGAGGTGCACACCAGGCCGTCAGACAACAAGCGAGATGCTGACCACGTGCTAGTATTTCTATTCCGACCTTTCCTTGCAGGTTGGTCTCAGACAGTAGGCACATTCTGTAGTGTCTAGTGCTGCTCCAGGTTCAGTCATTGCAAAGCTGTACTGCAGTGTATTGTCAACTTGTTCAATTCCGGAGCTATTGTTGACGTGGTGACGTGGGACAACTCAATAAACAACCGGTCATTGGGTAATAACTCAAGTGCACCTTTTGTACCCCGAGTACACATGTGAAAGTTAGTTATTTCGGGTTTTTAGTGGCACAGAAGCAACTGAGGCTATGCTGCACCAGACACAAGGTATTTCAGAAACGGGTGTTCAGATGATGAAGTTCATCACGTCATGCGCGGTTACTAAGGAATAATCTCCTAAGAGTAGAGGTGAGTGTAAAGGTATATGTTGTTTGTATAGTGCGGTAAAATATTTTTTTCTATGTTTCAATAGCGGGGCATTCAATTAAGATGTGTATACTGATAAAGGTTCTTGGCATTTTTCGTATATTGCGTGTTGATCCTTTGCGAGTAAAAAATTGTGAGTCAAGTGTGTGTGCCCAATGCGAAGTCGGCATAATATACCTTCTATAAACCATTCTTGGTGAAAACGGGTCTTCCATTCAGCAAGTATAGGCTTCACTAGGTGAAGCTTGTTACTCGTGCAGAAGTCCCACTGTTGCTGCCATTTTGCTAATAAAGCTAGACGAATGGCACACAGGCTGTACTTATGGGGAATGTTTACTTTTGATACTGTTTCATGAGCTGCCATCGAAGCATACTTATCTGCATCACAAGTTAAAATAAACTACCTAACCTTGAATGATGTAATATTTTCAGGCATATGCGGTGAAACGGGAAAGACAAAAACATCATTCGAACATCCGTGTGACCTTTCCAGAGTGATATATTCAGTGATAGACCCACCCCACATATTCAAGTGCATACGAAACAATCTACAGAAGGTTAGCAAGTTTCTGGTAAGCTGCAAATCAGTTCTGCCTTTTTGAAATATAAAGTTCCAATGCCTGCTTAGTATTAAGAGAATTTATGTACGGCTTCCACAGGGACAAGGATTGTACCACTCTGATTATATGGCTCTTCTTGAACGCAAAGAGGAACAGGGTGGTCTTCGTGCAGTGCCAAAGCTTACAAAGGCACATGATCATTAAATGCCTTCCAGAAACTCAGTGTGAAGCTTACAGTTAAAGTAAGAAATATTTAAGTTTGTTCAGTCAAGAATGTTTTAGATAATGGTATTTTATCTAAGAACAATTGCACCAGAAGAGCATTTCCATATTCCAGCTATTCAGTAAAGCCACGGCTGAAGCAATGAAATTTCACAGC